CCCAACCCCCCACTGTTACAAAAGCATCCCTGCATGCATGCAGAAGATGAAATACACTTTCTATTATCATGTCCGTCCTACACCCGAAGAAAGAGAAACACTTATGAATGCGATCACCAATAAGGCACATATAACATTACCTAAAACAATCTCAGATACTTTTACACTTCTCATGTCTTGTTCCGACGAAACTTCCCTGTATATAGGCCAGTATATATCCAAAGCTTTAGATAAACGAAATCATATTATATCCGATTCAACCAACTGATGTACACTCTAGTTTGTACAGTCATATATAGAACTTAAGACATGTACATTATCATGTAAGCCATGCTCCATATGTATACATGTTCTATATTACCTTTTTGAAATAGTATAATATTATTTCGACACATGAAACTTGTAGGTATCACTATAGATGTAAGGCCGTGTCTATACGGAATCACCCAAACCGCGATTCGGGTGACTCACATTCCTCACATCTGGTCCACGTGCCACACACACCTGTGAAACCGTGTCCGAACACAATACGCTTGAGCTACATTTATTGCTGTTTGATGATAACACGCAAGGTGGCGTGTTATTAATGTCAGAGGTCAACGACCTGCTTGCTGATGCCCCCCTCCCAGCGTATCTCGGCCGAATGCCAACGTGGTCCCGCCAGAGGCGGTGAAGCTCGCCCTAGAACGGACACATTATTTGACCATTTATAATACTGCTCTTTAAGTTGCTGCCACGTTAAAGTTGGTATTGCATATAAAAAAAGAAATATCGCCCCGTAATCCATGACCAGGCGAAGTCACATTGAAATCACATTGCGTTCAGACGCAAATCGCGATGCGGGGAAACCGATTGGAAACCACCTCTAGAAGTGGCTTGGGATCGAGGCGCTTTCAATGTGATTTCGGGGCGTTCAGATGGAGCCACTTGAAACCGGCTTCGGGGTAAACCACATGTAAAGCGCCTTGGGTGATTCCGTTTAGACACGGCCTAAGAGTAGATGTTAGCTAGATATGTAGTACTGAAAAGTTTGCCATGCATTGTACCAGTTGCAATTGTTGTACAATAAAGATTGACTTGACTTGACTTGACTGCGAATAGCCTGGTATCCAGTCTTACGTGATCGGGGGTGTTCAGGCAGGTTGTGTTTTCGGGGGGCTCTAAGGCCGTGTCTAAACGGAATCACCCAAGGCGGTTTACATGTGGTTTACCCCGAAGCCGGTTTCAAGTGGCTCCATCTGAACGCTCCGAAATCACATTGAAAGCGCCTCGATCCCAAGCCACTTCTAGAGGTGGTTTCCAATCGGTTTCCCCGCATCGCGATTTGCGTCTGAACGCAATGTGATTTCAATGTGACTTCGCCTGGTCATGGATTACGGAGTGATATTTCTTTTTTTATATGCAATACCAACTTTTTCGTGGCAGCAACTTAAAGAGCAGTATTATAAATGGTCAAATAATGTGTCCGTTCTAGGGCGAGCTTCACCGCCTCTGGCGGGACCACGTTGGCATTCGGCCGAGATACGCTGGGAGGGGGGCATCAGCAAGCAGGTCGTTGACCTCTGACATTAATAACACACCACCTTGCGTGTTATCATCAAACAGCAATAAATGTAGCTCAAGCGCATTATGTTCGGACAAGGTTTCACAGGTGTGTGTGGCACGTGGACCAGATGTGAGGAATGTGAGTTACCCGAATCGCGGTTTGGGTGATTCCGTATAGACACGGCCTAATACTAGTAGCTTCCCCCGCCCAGTGCAACAGACCGTCCCGGTAGGAGTGTTATGCTAATAAGAGACAGTATGCTTGGGGATTCGTGGAGGGCTAATCAATTTCTCGTGAAATACACACCGGCAAACCTATGTGAGGCGGGCGGGACAGAGCTATTGCAGCCCCGACCACGATCAGACTGGATACCAGGCTAGCATGCGAAGAGCGGCATATCAATAGTAAATAGCCGGTTTGTTTGGCAAACCAACAGACTGTATGCACAACTGCAATACAAACACTGTGGCCGGAAAGAACTATCAAGAGGTTCAAACGGTCTATCGATGCGGAAGCTAATTGTATTAATTTATTGGCTTGCCACTGTTCAACCATGGAGCTAGAAAAGAGTGTATCTTTTAACTCCATGGTTTAACACAACGAATATAAAGGGCTACCTTACTCTCCAAGCAGAGGTTTGTGTTTGGGGTTATTTTTGCGTGTTTTATAAATTAGGGCCTTTTTATCTGGGTTTCGTTTTTGCACTGGATTTTTTTCTCGTTGGCTTGGAAAAAAAACTCAGTGCAAAAAAAGAAACCCCGACGAAAAACCCTAAAAACATGCCGAAAATAACTCAAAACCCAAACCTCTGCTTGGAGAGTAGGGCTACCTAGCACTCGGCGGAGATCATTCAGCACTGGGTAGCCTGTCAGTGTCAATGTACCGAAAGCAAGGATTCTTAACAACCTATAGATTAAAAAGTTAAAGGTTCTGCACTGTTTTTTCCAGTGCTCGGTGTGACTCTTTGGCGCTGGAGTTCTCAAATCACTTCGGCAAATTATGGGCTTCCGTAGCCAGGATGCGTGGCCTGGCATCCGGATAATGTAGCACCGGAGGCCAGTGCTGGGTTTTTTAATAGCCTCTACCAGGCTTCGGGAGGCGGCAAAATGTTCTCTCCAGCAGACCAGCTCCCCTGGCATGCTATCTCTCTATTTGGCCGATTTGTAGAGGCTACTAGGTTTTATCTTTTACACGTCGGCAAACGGTACAGTAGCATAGTCTTTTACCGGGGTACGTCTTAAGGCCGAGTCTATGCCTTTGAAACTGTGAGGAAAGGGTCGCTTTGTCCTGTCCTACCTTAGCCTCTACCAGGCTTCGGGAGGCGGCTGGAAAGAATAGAAATCAGCCAAATACTAAATAGAGAGATAGCATGCCGAGGGAGCGGCGAACTGTTCTCCCCACGGACCAAACTCCCTCGGCATGCTATCTCTCTATTTGGCCGATTTCTACTCTTTCCAGCCGCCTCTCGAAGCCTGGTAGAGGCTAGTCCTACCGATCAACTTATTGTGCCGATAATTTTGCGGTCGCTATGAATTCAAAGACAGAGTTCTCTAGTTCTACTGAAAGTCTAGTGCTGATGCCGCCAACACTGGACAATGGACATTGATCCAGTGTTGACACAACTTCGGCACTGAAGATCTGGGCGGAAACCACCTCTGTCAGTGTTGCATGAGAATGGAACCCGTTACCTACATGTAGGAACTTCTGCTGTAATGTAACGTAATTTGATACTAGTGCATATAACGTTATAGAATAAGACCAAATACCTGGTTAGATCGAGGAGGTTTAAGATCCTTGGTTAGGTCTTTGGGTGTTGCTGTGGTCTGGTCTTTCTGTGTCTCTCCTTCGTCTCACTTCTCACAGATATCTTTTACAAGCTACTTCCCTTGCATGCCAGATGGCTACCTGGCTGATATTCTAGCCAATCACGTCTCAGTTGTATCTATTTGATATTTATGAGTCATGAGGTCAAAGGTCAGACACGTCAGAGCCATTACCGGCGCGAAAAGGATGATGGGTAAATCCGCCATTTTTCTCGATAAACACAATTCACACTTCCCATAATGCCTAGTAACGGTCACGGATATGACGTAAGACCACCCCTCCCCCTTCCTCGATGTAATATTTCCAAGTTCTATCGACAAACTGGTCAACTATTGTTTTGAATTATTTCTCTAGTATAAAGCGCATATGCCACATTTTTGTTGGAATTAGAGAAAATGACGTACCTTCTATCGTTCTAATATACGTAATGCGACCTTGCGAGTAGGAGATTCTTCGGTAGAAGGACTAGAACGATACAAGGTACGTCATTTTCTCTAATTCCAACAAAAATGCGCTTTATACTAGAGAAATAATTCAAAACAATAGTTGACCACTTTGTCGATAGAACTTGTTGGAAACATTACATCGAGGAAGGGGGAGGGGGTCGTCTTACGTCATATCCGTGACCGTTACTAGGCATTAAGAAGTGTTAAATTGGTGAATGGAACCACCACTGTATATGTCCCACCCACCACTACAGAAACCATCTCAACCCAGCCTACAACAGTTATGACTCCAACTGGTAGCAGACAACATTTCTACCTTTTTGTTCTCAGCAAGAACATACATGAAAAGACGGGTATACCAACGAAAAATACATTTGTTTTTGATAGAACAAGACTTGTTTGTCTTGCTTGGTTTTGTTATTTTGTTGTTCCTTGTGACATTTGCGGTCTTTTAGTTCTATTCCATATTATTCCACGCCTACGCGCAATTTTCTAGATTTCTAGAAATTTCTTCCAAAGAACTCAACATGTGTGGGCTAAAAAAAACATAAGTATATCGATGACCTTACGATCTGGTAGATTATGAATACGACATTCATTACTACAATATGAATCGGCATGTGAAAAATCATTGATACATTGGAGTGGACAAACAACCAAATACGATTGCAGTACAGTTACATTTCGCCAGGTGACCCCACTGCTACGTGCGGTACAGAATTAACAGTCATTCAAAGGGAACGCGACACCTAGAAATTGGGCTTATTTTTAAAGGCCACATCGTTGCGTCATGAATATTAAATCAACCACATTTTGTTAAATCCATTTTTCTCAATGTATGAAGACAGGGTTGATATGTCTTAGCAGTAAAAAAAAAAGACCGTAACACAACAGAACTGGACTTTCTATTTCAGAGAAGATGCGCCAACTCTTTGCCTCAAAGTTTGCACTAAAAAACAATTCTGTAGTTCAGTAGTGATAAAATGGAAATGCAAACTCATGGTACAAATGTATAATGATCTCGCGATGTAGAGAGATAAAACAGGAAAATAAATATACCGTAAACCTTACAATAGGGTAGGTAAGCTAAGAATAAAGGGCATTCTCAAATTAATAGAGACCAAATACATTCCTATGACTTTTTCCTGTTTATTCATGACCTGTGCTTAGCGTGTAAGAGCATAATCGTACAAAAAAAGGTCTTCTGCGAAAAGGAATTGTCGGTCTTTCCTTTTATATCAACAAACAAACCACAACCAGGTTGATTCATGTATAGTTGAGAAATGCATCCAGTTTATTCACAAAAAAAACTGTGTATGCAATGTTTTAACATCTTCGAACATAAATCCAGTATATTGCCCATAAGACCTCACTGTTCGTATCGACATCATACGTGTCATCAGACGAATATTATATAATATGTGTATATAAGTCTCGCGATATTAAATATGCATTGGAGCGTCGAATGTTTCCGGATCCGTGCGTGCGAGTAAGGTTTCCTAGAATGATATCCATTCAGATCCATCTATATGCAAATTTGCGTGAGTTCAAAAACATGACTAGTGACGTTAACACAAAATCGCTGTATATGTATTCAAAGGAATAAGGAATTACTCCTGATTTTACAGCTATGTACGATTTCAAAGAAACAAAACAGCTAATACGTATGTAAATACATGGAGAACACATAGAGTATACACAATATAGCCTTTACAAGGCTTCAGATGCGGCTGGAAAGAGTACAATATAGCAAAACAGACAGATGAATTGGTTCACTAAAGGAGTACAGTTGGAAAAAATCTACTTTATGACTAAATTCTATTCTTTTAAGTTACATCTGAAGACTTATGGAGGCTATCCACAAGACGTAGTCAACAGTGTTAGCAACAGTTAATCATAAATATCTTACACTTTTCACACTAGTCTCATACCGGAATTATAATCAACCAGTTCCAAATGCTGTAGTACCCTGCCTTGCATATACATGTATATGACAGTCATAGGCCACGCATTTCAGCAAACACACAGCAGCATATAGTTATAAATACGCCTTTTTACCGGAGAGCTACCCAAACAAATATAGTGATGACTATACAGTCGTAGTTTAGGCCACAGCAAGTAAATTTTATGGATGATATCATACGCAGACTCGAAATCTAATGCGAGCGGGCGAAAATAATGCGGGCTAAAAAAACAAGGTTTCTACATTTCAAAATTTTGACTCAATCATTGTACAAATGGTTTTGATTCAGTGGGAACATTACATATACACAGCCAACATCACATATCACTGCATCAAAGTAAGAAACAAAACATTAGATCAGAGCATTTTCTTGTCTCCTCTAATCATAGTTATCTGCCATCCACCTTCCGGCATGGCAACAGACATCTTTGCCCATTTTCGGCATGTTGACCACTGTCAGAAGGCAACAAAATTTCTTGTTTTTTTCTAACTCAGGCGAAAATTAATTGCCTCGTTGACGTCATCCATAAAAATTACTTGCTGTGGCCTTAATAAATACTTCCTATTGTGTTAATAGCAGGATCTTAAATGCAATAAAACATGTACACTTAATTCATCATATCATCGTACCATTCCCGTTTGAGTGTACGTGTGTGGTGGCCACGTTAAGTTTTTGAGCAGCCCGCAAAAATTCAAAAGCCAGCCTTTCAGCCCACGAATCAGGTTGAAAGCCTTCGAAAAACCCGCAGTGCCCTCCTTTTTCGGTTAGCGCCAAGAAGAAGTGAGGATAGGTTAGGAACAGTTCAGTCGGAATACTTTCATGAGGAACTAGTGGGTCGTCTTTGCTACTGATACACAGTAAAGGAACGGCCACTTCATCTATCTCTCTCGTAGGCTCGTTCTGCTCCCAATATTCCTCTATTGTGCGAGCCCCGTTCGTTCTACAAAACACCATTTCCTCGAATTCCGCCATTGACTCCGCCCTTAGTGCTGAAGTGCCGGCCAACGCGTCGACATTTTGTAGGCAAGACACGTGCGAGCGAAGCGATAGTTTTTGCCTCTGTAATAATATCCATCGATAGATGCTAGAGATGGCATTGGAATAGTAAAAGTTTTCTGCAGAATAGATTGGAGAAATGCACGCTGCCGCTGTAAGGTAGGTAGAGGAACCGTACTCGCCCAAGTACGAGATTAGAACCCCGCACCCTGTGCTTAAACTGACCGCAGTGAGGTTAGAGCCAGGGTTCGTGGCACGGATGTATTCCAAGGCCTCTCGGAAGTCCGAAGGGTCGCCGAAGCTCTGCAGGCGCGGCGTGGTGAGAAGGACGTCGCCGTGCCCGCGGGGTCTGAACACCACCGCCCGGAACCCGCTCCTCCACGCGCCGTGACAGACTCTCGCTACGGCGTTACCGGTCGTCACCAGCCCGCAGACTACAACCACCACCGCCCGGTGATCCTTCAGCGTCTGTTCCTCGAAGGTAGCCCAATCCAGCGCTACCACTCCGCCGTCTTTCAGCTCGAGATACTCCCGCTCAAAACGCGGTAACGTAGCCGGGCAAACCACCGCGGATAAGACCGTCTGAACATGCGGACTGTACGCCCAAACGGTCGGGAGGAACGGGCTCCTCAACCCGAGGCACTTCCGCAGAAAGTACGGTCGCAAAGACGAGTTTTTGGAGACCAGCCTTGGCCCTAGGTCATAGTAAGAATCCACATATATCCACACAACGTACAAGATGAGACAAAACAGGCTTCCTTTAAGAACCAAAGAGGTAAGGACGTTTCCTTCTTCGCCACTGTTGATTCCTGGAGTTGTGTTCTCCATCCTTTGGCTACACAATCTCCTCTAACTCACCCCCGAATCACTACAAATCGTCTGATATTCACGTCATCAAAGCAGGCCCGGCTATTCCTAGAATTTGCCTTCCCCCGAAGTTAGATCGATCGTCAGACGGCGTGAGTTGTTTGAGCCCAGGAGGCCAAAATCCGCGGGAGGAAAGAAAGAAAATTAGGCCCCAACAAATAAATTTCATGGATGACATCCTCCACAGATAGAGTCCAAATCTAATGCGAGCAGGCGAAAAAAAACAAGGCGGGCCGAAAAAAAAAACAAGGTGCCTACATTTTTAAATTTTGACTCAATCATTGTACAAATGGTTTTTATTCAGTGGGAACATCACATATACACAGCCAGCATCACAGATCACTGCATCAAAGTAATAAACAAATCATTAAAATCGTAGCCTTTCCCTGTCTCTTCTATTCATAGTTATCTGTCATCCACCTCCAGGCATGGCAACAGACATCTTTGCCCATTTTCGGCATGGTGACCACTGTCAGAAGGCAACAAAATTTCTTCTTTTTTTTCCAAAATCAGGCGAAAATTAATGCGCGCGTTGATGTCATCCATAAAAATTACCTGCTGTGGCCTAAGAAAGAAAATTAGCTCAAGCCGACTCGCAGGTGCTTCCATCCGGATAACTTGTGTTGGAAGGCGCCGCGAAAAATTCGTGACAAAGGGATATGGACCTGTCCCGGCTTAGAAGCGTCAACTGGTACTTGAAAAATTATTATCAAGGCCACAGCAAGTATTTTTTATGGATGACATCAGCACGCGCATTCATTTTTGCCTGATTTTGGAAAAAAACAGAGGAAGAAATTTTGTTGCATTCTGACAGTGGTCAACATGCCGAAAATGGGCAAAGATGCCTGTTGCCATGCCGGAAGGTGGATGGCAGATAACTATGAAGAGAGGAGACTAGAAAAAGGCTCTGATTTAATGTTTTGTTTCTTACTTTGATGCAGTGATATGTGATGCTGGCTGTGTATATGTGATGTTCCCACTAAATGAAAACCATTTTTACAATAACTGAGTGAAAATTTTGAAAATGTAGGAATCTTTTTTTTTTGGCCCGCCTTTTTTTCGCCCGCTCGCATGAGATTTGGAGTCAGCGGAGGTGTCATCCATAAAATTTACTTGTTGTGGCCTGAAGTCATGTTGGAAGGCGCCACGGAAAATTCGTGACAAAGCCTGTCCCGGCTTAGGAGCGTTAACTGGTACTTGAAAAATTTATTATCAACGGTACAAGGCCAGGTACAAGGTTTTAACCTCTCCGTGACTGCGCAAAATGGTAATCCGATTATATACAACATGTCAGCTCACAGCACCGTAAGAACGGAAAAGCCACACCGTCATAATTTTATGGATGACATCCGCGCGCGCATTGATTTTCGCCTGTTCTCAAAAAGAAAAAAAAAATTCCCGTCCACCGAGGCTCTGACCTGGCTCTAGGCCTGGGTAGTCCATGGTAGTTAGCGACAATACGGAGCCGGTGACAACTCTTGCGGGTGGCACCCGGGCTGGCAAAGCTCCACTACTCAAGAACTCAGTAAATACATACAGTGCCGATTCATAAATTCCGCAAAAAGCCAGCATGTGCCGGCTCGTCGTATACTTCACTAAGTACTGCCGCAAATTCACAATACCTGCTTTGTATTCCTGTGGTTTATAGTAGCATTCTTATTTTTGGCCGGAATTTTTTTTTTATTCGCCCGGGTGCACTAGTTTGGGTGTCTTCAGAGGATGTCATCCATAAAATTAAGTCGGCGTGGCCTTATATAAAAAAATTAAAGACTGCACAGAAACCAATGGTATGCAATGAAATACAACATAAATTTCCTAACAGTAATCAAACGCGATAGGCACAAAAACGTTTTGAATACACTTCTGATGTCAGGGAACATTTAATCTTGTAAAATCGTCCTTCCAGTTCTTGATTTTTCTGCAGCCAGAAAATTCAGTTGAAATACTGGCAGTGACGTCATGGTTGGCATGGCAACCAGTTCAGACCTGGCACCTGATGTTGAACCTAGAGGCACCGCTATATAATTGGATTTTAGTCTGAGATAATGCGGTCGCTTCTTGATAAATAGAGAGCGATCTCTGAGAGACGGTAGAGCGACCAAAATTAGATTTATGAAAAATATAAACTGTTCTCCAACTCATATATTTGACTCACCGGAATTTTCGGCCATATACATCAGGGCACTTCAACCATCGCTCAACCGGGACGGGGGCGATATCGACTTCAGACAACCTTTGACCCTTTGCTGACGTCACACGTGGGAAAAATCACGTGTCCACAGCATTTGGGTCAGATAGCTGAGGAAGACTGAGTGATTCAGTCGAAAATTTCTGGTGAGTCAAATTTATGAGTTGGAGAACAGTTTAAATTTTTCATAATGTAATTTACCAACTCAGATGATCATGAACTTTCATGCCAAAGTTAGATTTGTGTTTGTTGATCAGACAACTGGAATGCAAGATACGATTACGATTATATATATGATTTAGAAAGACAACAAGACGACACAACACGTAAAAAATTATTCTCTATCTATTATGTTGAGCGGTCGCAGCCTCTAGCGGAAAGGGGGACCCAGTGTTGCTAAATGTTTTACCGATATATTGGAAGTCTCAGACCTAAGAACAGTGCTTGTTTTTCTAGCCCCTAATCGGGTTGTTAAAGCTCTTTCTTCTGCCAATATCGCTTCTCAAACACCTGTCACTGTAACAGCCTGAACAGGACCGGGACATTAAAACCTATGCTTGTCTATTAAGTGCAGCAAAGGCTAATAATTGAAATCGAAAGAGCTGTTGAGAAAGCATCTATTTCAATTACTTCGGCGCTAACGCTGATGCTACTAAATCATACTGTCTGGAAGACTGTCGATCTGTGATTATCCCATGCACTAACAGATGCTACAAGATTGAAGAGCAAAGCGACACGGTTTGACAGGATAGAAGAAAACTTCATGGCGTTGGTCCAAATCCTTAAGATTGTTATCAGTGAGCTATAAGATCACGTTTTGAAGGAGCTCGAATTGGCCAATGCCCAACTACACTTCTGCTAAAATACGTGAAGCGTTTTTGTATTCAGTGATTACTTCTTGATGCGGAAAAAATGGCTGTTTGAATCGTATATACACATATGTATATAGTATACACATATCCACATATGTGTATAATATACACATGAATCTGTAGTATAGATATGCACTTAATTGATAAACATCATGTGTACTCAAGAAAAATACACATCTGTATCTGTATGGCCGGTATAACCGCCCTTTGGCGTAACACACCAGCTTCGCAGGCACGCGGCGCGTCGGCAGCTGGCTACATTACACCGATCGACTTGTTATTACACCTGACCCTTAAACACCTAACTCTAGACATTGTTTAAAGCTATCTAAAGAAATGCACAGTGAACAGTATTTCTTGTTTCAATAGAGGAAGAGATCATCTAGCTTTCGCGCTATTTAAGCCTTGTTCATATGAAACCACCCGAACCGCAATTCGGGTAACTCGCATTCCTCACATCTGGTCCACGTGCCACACATTCCTTTCAAACCGTGCCCGATCACGATTCTCCGAAACTGCATTCATTGTTGTTTGATGAAAACACGCAAGGTAGCGTGTTATTGATGTCAAACGTCAATGACCTGCTTGCTGGTGCCCCCCTCCCAACGTATCTCGGCCTAATGCCGACGTGGTCCCGCCAGAGGCGGTGAAGCTCACCCTAGGACGGACACATTACTGCTCTTTAAGTTGCTGCCACGTAAAATTTGGCATTTCATATAAATAAAGAAATATGACCCCGTAATGCATGACCAGGCGAAGTCACATTGAAATCACATTGCGTTCAGACGCAAATCGCGATGCGGGAAAACCGGTTCGAAACCACCTCTAGAAGTGGTTTGGGATCGAGGCGCTTTCAATGTGATTTGCAGCGTTCAGATGGGGCCACTTGAAACCGGCGTCGGGGGAAACCACATGTAAAGCGCCTTCACTGACTTCATATGAACAGGGCCTTAGAAAAATGACGTATTGGCAAATATCGCACCTGTACACGGAAATCCACCACCTGCACACTGAGAGCTCTCACGTATAATTCTTTTTCCGCAGGGGACAGGAAGAGAATTTAATTCTAAGAAAATGTATTTTATTTCTGACAGGAATTTAACCCTATCCTGATAGTTTTACTACGGTTAGTTCCTATTAATGCCGATAATGGAGTTTTACAAGGCAAAGGATTACACCAGCTTGTACACCGGTAATACCAGCTGGATTGCAACCGTCATATATTTGTTATGTAATACCGGGGACGCATATGGTGCTTTTATAAATATGATACCACTTGGACTCGTTTTTCATAGAACTGTCGTAGAGTGGAACTCGCTGATACCAATGCAAGCACAGTAGGGACATCATCACCAGATAGGTTTAAACAACGTGTAAAGGTTAGGTGTAACAAGTCGTCCGGTGTGATGTAGCCAGCTGCTGTCGCGTCGCATGTCTACGAAGCTGGTGTGAAGGGAGTTTATACCGGCTATACAGATACTGATAGAAACTAAAGTAACATTTGCAAAGCAAATGCATAATGTTTACCTTTGGATATGGTCTGCTCTGTTCATTTTTACTTAAACACATTCACATACATGTACATGTATATGGTGACAGGAGTATAAAGGCCTACCATGAAATTGCAACATTGTGTAACCCAACACCAGTTACTATGGTGACAGACGTCAACAAAAGAGGCCATTGGCCAGGTCAGAGGTTAGTGTTTGGAACAGAAGAAGACATGGAGCAAAAACAATATGTTTTCCTTCGGTAAACATAATTAGAAAGGGCGACATTTGCTCGGGAGCAAATACAGCATATTTCAGTACATTTCCCTCCACGGGAATATCATCTCTACGAAATAGATTCTATTGTTCAAAACTAGAATCTATTTGGTAAAGATGACATTATGCACTTCACTTTGGAAAGTTTGAAGGAGCTAAAAACCCTTGCGTGCAATTCTAACTAAGCTAGAGATAGACTATGTTTTATACACGTTGAGACTTTAATGGTAATATATGCGTAATCTCATCATACTGACATGGTCTATATTTTTCCGAATTATCTATACCACATACAAGTCACAATGGGACTATATGTCGTAGAATATTGACGTCACAAACATATCTGACTCGATTTTTTTTTTTTATTCACATGGATTTTTGAGCATTGGATAGGAAGCACTTGTTGTGCTTATGTAAATCCGCTGCTCATAAAACATAATACAAATGTAACATAGAGAAGACATAAAGTATAACATAAACATAAAATGAAAGTGGCTGGCGCACCAATACCTAGCATAACATTATTGAGATTGGTCAAATCTTCCAGAGTGGTGGATATAGTTAAACACAATATCAAAGATACGGCAGTTTGTAGAGTATAGGAGGGAGGGGCTACCTGTAAGAAGTAAAGTGCATAATGTGGCGGCATTTGCGCTGAGTGGGTCGGAAGGAAGTATGTTTTCAAGATGAAGGCAAGATATGGATAACAACATTTTGGTCCTTTCAGTATTATAACATTTGCAGTGTAATAAATAGTGTTCTGGTGTCTCATTCGGATGCCCACATTTGCACTCGGGACTACTGATACAGTGATGCTGGAATAGGTGGTAGTTCAGCTGGCTGAAACCAAGCCTGAGTCTGGTAAGGTGAGTCACATGGTGTCCGTGGCCGTGAGAGTAGTGGAGATGTCTGGGCATGCTATCAAAGCAGGACTCTAATTCATTTTTGAATGCACGAATGGATGGGGATTCTTTGGCGGTCTGGGGTAACTCGATCCTAAGGCAGTCTCTCGTCTTGTCTATTCCTTAGTCCCAATTCATTCTACTGTTAGGGAAACACAAATATCTGACAACCAGTTTTCAGTGTCAGTGAAAACACCTTGACTTGGGTACTTGGGAGAGGCGGTAAAATTCGAACAAAAAGTAGACGTGTGAAATACGCCACCATTCAGTTTGTTTTCAGTTTTATTCAGATCCACAATTAGCCTCATAAGAGGCTATTCTTTCTGGTCTACACATTCATATTTACATACATACATATATTACAAACGTACAAAACATTACAAAATTAACAGTGCATGGCAAACTTTACACAATTCACTATTTACAATCCAGTACTTTGCTAGTTGCCTATGTTATTCCACAACTGTGACATCCTGTACATAAAGCGCTTTTTCTGAGAGTTTGATTTTAGTTTTGGTAGTCTGATTTTGTTTGTGCTGGTTGAACGTGTTCGGTACTTGTGAATCTCAGATTGGAATGTGATTTTGTCCTACAAGGCCTTTGGTTGTTTGGTGAGCATTATACGTTTAAATGTGACGTTTAAATGTGACTCAGCATGGATGTCATTGTTAAATTTCAGTGTCCATGGTTGCACTTTAAGAGTTTGCAAGACAACGTTTATAACGTGCTCGTCTGCAAATCAATATAAACTAATCTAACTGTAAAATATCATGATAATGTGTAACCTTTTTGTTTAATAACATCTTTCTTTATGACAAAGGTATCAAAATTTCAACAGAACAGAAATGAATTGAACCCCTCTTACATCCACAAAATGGAATGGCCGACACACCGACTTAATTTTATGGATGACATCCGCGCGCGCATTGATTTTCGCCTGTTCTCAAAAAAAAAAAAAAACTAGAAAGGCCAATATTTGCTTTGGAGCAAATACAGCGATGGGTTCACCACATTTTACGACATGGCAGGGAAAGAATGAGAAACACAAGGGAAAACAATGATTTACATTGATATAACTATAATATGAAGTAACATACAACTAAAACAACTAGATAGCTATTCCCTACTTTATTGGTTAGGATTTTTAATTGCATAATGCAAACTGTTGATTTTCAAAATAAAAAAAACGTTCATGCCCCGCATTCCAATGCTGGAGCAGGAAAGCTTGAAATACCTACCAAAACACTTGAATACAGACATACTGTCAGTATGGAAATGCTCTGTGCAGGTGTTAATCAAGTTAAATCCCAACAGTCAATCAGCAAGAAATGCTCTGTGCAGGTGGAAATGCTCTGTGCAGGTGTTAATCAAGTTAAATCCCAACAGCCAATCAGCAAGAAGAATAGAGGAAAGCTGCATGCCTATTGGTTGATGCCCTGCATTCCATTGTGATGACTCATGCCCAGACGTGGTAAACACGGCACACTAACACAGTAATACATTTGCTATAACACAGCCTAAAAACTCAAATAAAACCATTCTAAAAGCCTGTATCACAAAAATTTAAAAACGCCTAGGGGTATTTGCCCATTGTACCTCCATACCAAATTTCAGGACCTTAGGCCCTAAAATGAAGAAGCTGAATCCATTTAAAGATATGGCAGGAGGAGAAGGAGAAGAAGAAGAAGAAACATCAGAAAAAGCAATATGGGTTCACCACCACTTCGTGGTGTGGTGAACCCATAAAAAAAGATCACGTCCTCCGATACGGAGCCGGTGGTAACTCTGGAGGATGGCAACCAGGCTACCGAAGCTCCACGACTCAAGAAGTACATACCTACAGTGCCGACTCAATAAATTCCACAAAAAGCCAGCATGCACCGACTTGTATAGGCATCAGGACACTTCGGCACCTGGACACTTCGGCACCTGGACACTTCGGCACCTGGACACTTCGGCACCAAGTTCAGGACGGTTCGGCACCGAAGTGTCCAGGTGCCGAAGTGTCCGACATCCCCCGGCCTATACAGCATTCCGGAATGGCGCGGTCCAATAGGCGCTAGTAACGCCTATTAGGGGGGATATACCTTGTAATAAAGCAGGGCAAACAGCACACGTGTACACACGATAAGGAGCTTCATTCACTAACTTTATTCAGGTACATGTACTTCTAAAGCGCTTTTACGTAACTTGTGCATGGTACTGTTCTTATTTTCTACAAGCAACTTATAAACCAGCGCGAACATTTGCGCGAACGTATTACATGCTGAACATGATAGAATGAACTTGATGCACTTGACTACAATAACGGGATAACGTTTGAATTCCTCAGGTTAACTAAGATGGTGCCCATAACAAGCTTCCGCCAAAAAAGCCTTCAGAAACCGCATAAACGTCGCTGGCGTTAACATTATAACATTGCTTATAGCATTATAACATTGCTTATAACATGTTTGAACTTCAAATGTGGTTCCAGCATGGAACAGGAGACATCCGCCTGGCCTGTTACTAATGTTTTGCCTGTGTGTGTTCTTCAGTCCTGTAGTCAGTCTCTCTAACAGTATCCGTACGATATGTATCTTTACAGTAAATATGAACATTATAGAATATAGAATTATATGAACATTATAGAATGCGCTTGATGAGCTTGATACACATGTACGGATCTACATGTACAAGTGTATGATTGCTAGAATCATGAAAAACGATTATGTCGGGATAACGTTTGAATTTCTCAGGTTAACTAAGATGGTGCCCATAACAAGAAGACGAAGCTTTCGCCAAAAAAGCCTCCAGAAACCGCATAAAAGTCGCTGGCGTTAACATTATAACATTGCTTATAACATTATAACATTGCTTATAACATGTTTGAACTTCAAATGTGGTTCCAGCATGGAACAGGAGACATCCGCCTGGCCTGTTACTAATGTTTTGCCTGTGTGTGTTCTTCAGTCCTGCAGCTGTAGTCAGTCTCTCTAACAGTAGGGAGGAAGACGGCCAAAGAGTTGCTGGAGTCTTTGGACCGTCAGCACACCCTCCCGGGGTTCTAAAACAACAACTCGCCCCGCTTACAACATTTCTGAGTCAGATAAAAACTATACTGGCGGTCCAAAGACCTTGGCACAAGCCTCCAGCAACTCCTTGGCCGTCTTCCTCCCGCCGGAGAAGTTGTCCCATTCGTCAAATAGGCGGCCCTGTAGGCTTCTGTACTTTGCTCGCTGATGTCGCCTGAGCTTCCCCTCCGTGACCAGCCTCACGTGGATCTTCACAAGGCAGCTTTCCCGATGGAGCAGGTCGATCAGCAGGTACAGTGGAAGGGATGGCTTCCTGGCTTTCTGGTTAAAGTCTGTTGTGCCATCCCTCCACGTCGTTGTTTGTCCGAATCGATCGACCGTACACAGACCAACAACGAGGAGGCCAAGCTGAACTGTGTAGCCAGGTCCTCTCCACGTACCCTGCCAGCTCTGTCAGCACTCTGGATTCCCTTACTTTTGACTGCAGCTCTGTGAGCGCTTGGGGGATGGCTGCTACTGGAAGGTAGGGGAGTGCCAACAGTCTCCGCAGCCACCTGTGTACCCGTTCGTCTTCTTTGTATGGCACCTGCAGTCCCAGCTGCTGGGCGTGTCTCCAAACTGCTTGTGCCCAGTGGAAGCTGCATCCGCGCAGACGGACGTGGGGAAACAGTTGCGGGAGGACCTGCCACAGAGCTGATTCAAAGTCCAGCACACACTCCTGCAGGTTGATGACACCTGGCAGGGCGTCTATGAGCTCACTGAACACTGCCCTGTAGTCTCCCTTCTTCCTCCCAGACATCACCGCAAAAGCAAGGGGAACCTACGATGACACAGGGCAAAGCATGCAAAAAAAGAACATTGAAGCAAGAAGTATGATGTAAGGAGACCATGGCAATAGTAACAATTATATTGGAATCTACAATTCAATTTGGATGTTGAAGACATTTACATTGTATTTGTAATATGTATAGCTATATTTATAGTAAGTAAAATTTAATGCCAAAAGCAGTTACTCAAACAACTGGATATGATTTTGGAAACGTCAGACGTTTCAGCTAGTATCCAATAGCTTTCGTCAGTGACTGAAAGACCAGAGGGGAAATGCAGGTTTATAAGCACTAACTATTGATTGATATGCAAATAAAGTGAAGACAATTTTTGGAAGTCGAAAAGGGAACAAAAGTCAGACAAGTCAAGACAAGATAATGCAAATCAGTCATAAAGCTCCTGTTATACAGAACAGGAGCTTAAGTGTTGTCTGTCCTCGGGGCTGGGAGTGCCAAATCAAGTGCCGGAGAGATCGACCCGTATACGTAGCCCCCTTCCCTGTTGAGGCTGAAATTTATGATCTGTTACTTAACTTCAGAAAATGTGAATAATAGTTATTTAGATTCTTACCTGCTTGATGTTGCCACCATTCTGGAGAAAGGCGTGCAGGGAAAGCACCTGGGTAAATGGCGCACGCACGATCTTAAATGTGCCATCAATATACCATGTGCGAGCTGACGCAAGGATGCTCAGTTGGAGCTGCGTGGCAAGCAGCAGGTGTCGTCGGAGGCGACGATTTCCCTGTACTTCAATGTCCTTCAGCACATATCCCTCTGGCACGTTGTCCATGTCTAATTCAAAGTTGAAGTCCGTCGGTTCCGCTGGTCTGAGATTGGCTTTCGCTCTGTTGACTCGGCGTAGGAGTGCCTCGTGGGTCGGAAGGCCTGGTTGGTCACCTACCTCAAGCAACAGGTCATCCACCAGGTTGGACGCGGGCTCGAAGATCTGTTGAGGGCCCTTTACCCTTATGCCTGCGTTGACCCTGGCATTGACAGTCGCCCCCAGCTCAGGGGGATGGCAGTGGTCATGTTGGCCCGGACGGTATTCTTCACCTGACTGGATCAGCGTGGCACGACAGTAGACAGTTTTGTTCCGAACAGCGCAACGCCAGTAGATCACCCCTTCATTCTCCTTCTTCACAGTATATGAATACCCCGACTACTGATGAGTCTTCGGCAACCTCTTGTAGTGGCCTCTTCGATTAGTGTGTAGGACACAGGTGTTTCGGTGCAACTGGTGTCCAGCTCCTCTTCTATCGCACCATCAGCCGGATGTTCCCATGAACTCTCCTGCAGATCCTCCACGGAGGTGACTGTGCCGTGGCTAAAGTCCGAAAGGCTGTTCTCGGAGTCGTCGTCATGGTGTGCAGAGTTGGTCATGGACCGGTCAGACAGAGTGGGGCTCCTGAATGGACTGATGCTTGGACTGATGCTCTGGGGCCTGTATGGACTGGTGTCTTGGGGCCCTCTGTATAGACTGGTGTCTTGAAGACTTCTCTGTGGACTGGTGTCTCGGGGCGCTCTGTATGGACTGGTGGCCATGGGGCTTCTCGGTGGACTGGTGTCCATGGGGCTTCTCTGTGGACTGGTGTCCATGGGGCTTCTCGGTGGACTGGTGACCAGGGGACTCCTCTGTGGACTGGTGGCGAGGGGATTCCTCTGTGGACTGGTGTCCATGGGGCTTCTCGGTGGACTAGTGACCAGGGGACTCCTCTGTGGACTGGTGGCGAGGGGATTCCTCTGTGGACTGGTGGCCATGGGGCTTCTCATGGGGCTTGGGGTGACTGTGCCGTGGCTAAAGTCCGAAAGGCTGTTCTCGGAGTCGTCATCGTGGTGTGTAGAGTTGGTCGTGGACCGGTCAGACAGAGTGGGGCTCCTGAATGGACTGATGCTCTGGGGCCTGTATGGACTGGTGTCTTGGGGCCCTCTGTATAGACTGGTGTCTTGAAGACTTCTCTGTGGACTGGTGTCTTGGGGCCCTCTGTATGGACTGGTGACCAGGGGACTCCTCTGTGGACTGGTGGCCATGGGGCTTCTCTGTGGAGACCTCTGTGGACTGGTGGCCATGGGGCTTCTCTGTGGACTGGTGGCAAGGGGACTCCTCTGTGGACTGGTGGCCATGGGGCGTCTCTGTGGACTGGTGGCGAGGGGACTCCTCTGTGGACTGGTGGCGAGGGGACTCCTCTGTGGACTGGTGGCGAGGGGACTCCTCTGTGGACTTGTGGCCATGGGGCTTCTCGGTGGAATGGTGGCGAGGGGACTCCTCTGTGGACTGGTGGCCATGGGGCGTCTCTGTGGACTGGTGACCAGGGGGCTCCTCTGTGGACTGGTGGCGAGGGGACTCCCCTGTGGACTGGTGTCATGGAGGCTCCTCTGTGGACTGGAGGCCAGCGCGTTCCTCCGTGGACTGATAGCCGGGAGGCTCCTCTGTGGACGGGCGGTTCGAGAGCCCCTCTGTGGAGTGGTGGCTGGCAGACACCTCTTCAGCCGGTTGGCCTGGGGGATCCTCTTTGGACGGGTGGACCGAGTGATCCTCTCTGGATTGGTGGCTGGGGGACTCCTCTTTAGCCGGGTGGTCGGGGGGATCCTCTTTGGACGGGTGGACCGAGTGATCCTCTCTGAACTGGTGGCCGGGGGACTCCTCTTTAGCCGGGTGGTCGGGGGGATCCTCTTTGGACGGGTTGACCGAGTGATCCTCTCTGAACTGGTGGCTGGGGGACTCCTCTTTAGCCGGGTGGTCGGGGGGATCCTCTTTGGACGGGTGGCAGTCTCCAACCTGCAACAGGAACGGGTAGATGCACGTTATAACTCACATATGCAATTCATGTATCAATTATTACTACACTAACAAAATGTTTTTCTTATTTTTCTTATTTTGTTATGTTGAGAAATATTTTCTTGCCGGAGGGATTTTCAAGAAAATTCAAGAAACATTCTTTAAATGTTTTGTATGTTGATTCTTACATTTTCTTACATTCTTACAGAATTTTATTCTTCTTTTTTTTCTAAAGAAAAGAAAAAAAATCTTGTATGATGCCCACCAACAATCTTCAGAATTTGTAGAATCTTAAGAAATCTTAAGCGAAATGATTCTTGTTATTCTTGTTACTGTTTAAGAAGGTACAAAAATTATTTTCTTAACTTTTCTTGTTTTTCCTCATCTAAAGAGTTTAAGTAAGGTGATTCTTGTTTTTCTTGATACTTTTTACGAAGATACAAGAATTATTTCCTCAACTTTCTTACTTTTTCTCATCTAGAAAGTTTAAGTAAGGTGATAAATGTGTAATGAATATAGTAATAAACATTCCTATACTGTTAAGAGGCTTGGATAAATAATTGTTAACACTAACATTTAGTTTAGTTTCATTATCTGTTTTACAGTATATATATATATATATATATATATATATATAGTAGTAG